GTTTCCCTTTGGGGTTGCTGTAGGTGATCCAGAAGTCTGTTTTTGAGGCTTGTTTACATATCTTCTCATTTCCACTGGGAGGGGTGCTTCTAGCACCCGTGTGGCTCACCTTCTCTGCCCTAGGAGCATGGGATGGTGGCGGGGGAGCTTCCTTCTGGGTCCTGGGACCGGCTCAGCTTCTCTGCCCATTGCGTGGCTTCAGAGTCTCCTAGAGTCCTTCTCATGCAGCATGCAGCTAGTTGAAGTAATAGAAGGTGGTCCCGCAAGCTGGGGGGCTCTCAGCAATGTCTCAATTTTCTTATCTGTAAAATGGAAATAGTACCACCTACACTGCAGCATTGTTATAAAAATTACTGATATTTTGCTTAAAATGCACATAACATAGCATTCTCCTTACTTTTGTATATGATTGCATTTTTCATAACTTGTTTTAAAAAATCCTTAATGTTGTCACCTTTACTCTCTGTTACCACTGATTTAGTTTGGTGCCCCAATTCCTCTGTCCTTAAAACTTAACTTTCCTAGCTTCCACTTTTACCACTACAAAGCCGTCAATCCCTTACAGTCTGACACAATGGCTCAAGGAGTCATCTAAACTTGTCTTAACTGAGTATTGATTCTCTTGAATCTTTGCAATTCCTAGCTGCATAGGAAAGCAAAAGGCATTGGGATATTAAAATCCTTACTACTAATAATTATTACTATAGCTGATGTTTATTGAACATTAATTGCATACTGAGTACATTCTCTGTACTTTACATTATTAATTTGATCCCCAAACCATACTCTATGTATACACTATTGACTCCCTTTCCTCATGAGATCAAGAGAATGAGAGGCTTAATAATTTGCACAATTTACACACTAAGAATGTGGCAGGGCTGGAATTGTAACTCAAGCTTTCATCAGAGTAAAACCCATTTCTTTCACACATTGCACAGAAGCTCCATGAACTGCTTCCTGGCTTGATACCAACCTCTATTCTTGCATTTCCTGCTATGCATGGAATTTTCTAGAATCTTTGAGCTACTCATGGTAGCTGCTCAGATGCACCATGTTCTTTCTTACTCCAGTCATTCTGCCCCCTCAGCGTCATCTCTTCTTGCTTGGTCCCTCTGGGGCATTGGTTTCCTTACCACTTCAATACCCCAGACCCCTCTCACAGCCATTTTGCTAGAATTGCCCTCAGAAGAGATTTTTTGATTGACATCCTGGCTCTGCCATTTGTTAGCTTTCAGACCTTTCTGAATTTCAACTAGCTCCTCTACAAAATGCTCATAAAATATGATGTCCAACCTTCCTGGAAGTCTATGAATAATCACTACAAATAACAGGTGTACCTTGGTAAATATAATTCTGGAATTAGTAGCTTGCAAAATAATATCTGCTTCTTTTGAAGTGTATATTTTTACCTTTTTCTGCTTCTGTTTTCTACCCTTTCTCTGTATGATCTGATGGCCCCCATAAGAACTGGTCTCATTATAAGCAATGATCCACTTTGAACATTGTCTACATGCCCTTTGAGCTATGGGGTGCTTCATGAATGCTGTTTTAGGCCACTTAGGTCCTTTTCAGATATTTGTAAATGAGCAGACAATTCAGTAGCACTGTTCTCCATGAGGGTTATGTCCAGGAAACTTTTCTGTGCACAAAAACTATACCTGCTTGATTAAAGAGCATTGGCTAGCTCGATCACATAATAGTCTACGGAGATGTGGGAAATCCTTCCTACTAATGAGTTATACTAAAAAAAAAAAATACTGAAAAAGTACCCTGAGCCCTGGTTTCTCATTTTCCTCTAAGAATGCTGCACAACTATTCTTGCCTTTCCCTGTGCCTCTAAGACACGTCATGCTGACACCTTGCTCCTGTATCCTAGGTATGGGGTAGCTGAGATTGCTGTAGCAACAGCACACCCAGGGTAACATTCCCCCATAACTACAGTGGCTGGGACATGAGTCAGTTGAAAAGTTTCTCGGAGTTTTTAATTACTTTATGATGCAGTCCTATGTCATCTACAGTTCCTGGCCCGTGTAAGAGACTTACACATGATGGTGTGGAACACTTGATGCTGATCACCTTCAAGTGTTAGATGGCCCAGGGTCCTTTCACAGAAGCCACTACAGCAGCTGGTTTCTTCCACTGCACCCCTTACTAATACCTGCAATACAAGGCCAAGAGGAAAACTCAGGCCTCAGTGCTGGAATTTTATTTCTGCGAATGCATGTCCTGTGTGCCTAAAAAGCAACTGTGACATTGCTAGATGATCAAGGAGATTCTTTTTCTTTTTACTCGGAGAGCTGGACAATGGTTTACATGGTGGAAGACACATTTTTAACCTAGTGTCTAGGAAGGACATATGCAAAAGCATAAGGATGGAACTACTGTAATTCTCTATGGGGATTTATGAAAATGGAGCTTGCCATTTAATAGTAATCAAAAGGATTTTCAGATTTATTGGTGTCTTCTAACACAGGATTTGGTTTATTTTTCAGACATGGAGATGACTTGATTGTGACTCCATTTGCTCAGGTAAGCACAGCTTGGCGAGTGGGCAGCCTTCTCACAGACGGTGAAATTAAATTTGGGGTTTGTTCTAGTGCTTAATTTAATTTTAAATCAAATGCAACTAAAAATATGAATTGTGTTCCTCATCTAGTAATTCAAAGGCAGTGCTAGAGAATATGATTTTGCCTTTATAAACCTGTTTTGTATATCCCTGTCAACTCAAAGTGTGTGTTTGCTTCAAATGGCAAGTAAGCTAAAGGATATAGGAATTAAATGGGTCCAAATTTCCTTAACTGACATAAACACAAGAGGCAGAAGGCTATATCATGGATTAAATTACATTTAGTATAATTAGGTACATGATTCGTGCTTAAAATTTAATAATCCAATTTCATCTGATACCTTATTTACTCATTTGTACATGTGTTATTTGTACAAAGATTTAGCTGAGTAGCATGTTTATGCTTATTCCTTTTAGGTATACATACTGTGAAAACATTTTAACCACACAATGCAGAAGCAAAAAGGTGATAAAATAACCTAAAGGGTTTTGGAACATATAAAAGTATGAATTACTGGATGTTCTTAGTATAGACCAGTGTGTTTCAACTCTAGCTATACATGAGATTCACCTCCACTACTCTTATCCCAGTGACAAGACTTCTGATCAATTAAACCCAAAAACTTGGGGGTCAGACCCATGCATCTGCATTTTTCAAAGGCCTTAGTCCATTTACAGTGTGTAGTGTTAAAGTTGAGAGCCCTGGTGTAGACAACCAGGTACAGAATGGAATAAACCTGATTTAACCTGGGTAACAATGAAGCCTTAAAGTCAACATTGACATTTAAAAATGCTAAATATTGAAATATAAATAATCCTAAGAAGTTATAAGAATTACAATCAGAGTTATGTCATAAATAGATATAGTACCTCGGGCAACCATTATGGCTTTGAGTAAGTCACTGAACTTTTCCAGGTCTGGTCTCCTCCTCTATTAAATGACAATTCTGATTACCTGCCTCATAACATTTTTACAAAGCTGACATAATACCAGCTTTTAAATGCTCAGGAAAGTTTCTAAAAAAACGTAATGTGTAATAATAAATTATAATTATTGGTTTAATCATATAGATTTTATCTCTAAAATAGCATAGATATCATTTTTAAAAATGAATGATAGTATTTGGATGTTAACTCTACTTTTAAATTTTTTATGGCTATAATTAAGACCAAAATTTTAATCAATCCATAAGCAATATTATGCTAACAGAAATTTTCTAAATTAAGACAGGCAATTAAAAATAGAATATGCTCGCCCTCCCTTTCAGATAGTTAATACCTTGATTGCTTAAGATTTTGCTAGAAATCATGATTTCTTCCTATATCTGGATGCCAAAAAATAGGTATTTTAATCATATTTATAAAACTAAGTATTTTTAATTGATTATTCTTGAGAACTTACAATTTCCTGTCTAAGAGCTAGGCGATGAACAGAAAACAATGAGGCAAAAATATATTGATAATTGGGCTGGGGATTTAGCTCAGTGGTTCTGCCGCCTGCCCCACAAGTGCAAGGACCCAAGTTCGATCCCCAGTACCAAAAAAATAGAGAGAGAGAGAGAGAGAGAGAGATAATCATCGCAATGTATAGAATCAGTCACTCTAATTCAAATTCATTCAGATAGGTATTTTTTACTTTTAAACTCTTAACACATTATAAAAAATGTACCTACGATACTTTGTCTTGGTTTTTTTTTTTTTGGTATTGGGGATCCAACTTGGGACCTTGCGCTTGTGAGGCAGGCGGCAGAACCACTGAGCTAAATCCCCAGCCCTAAAAAATGTATCTAAATATACTATAAAAATTGAAAAACTTCTGTATATAATACTTTGTCTTCTATGAGTAATTTTTACTTATCACCAACAAATAGGTTAATAAATTCAACTTGGTCTCTGCCATCAGTGCTTTTAAATTTTAAAGAAATATAATCATTTACATAATTAAACATCTTCTCTAATGTACCTATAATCTCCAAAAGCTAATTAAATTTTAGTATACTGGTAAGTTCACATGTATATTATGTTAATAAGCTCTTTAATTTTAAAAATGTATACATAATATCCTTGAAATTGGAACTTTGAATATAAACCAACTCTGTGTAATATGTAGACATATCTTATGGCTGAAATAATCCTAAAAGTCTCAGAAGACTTCACTTATGATTAGTGAAGTTCATCTAGGAGAAGGTACAGTAGTCATTCCCCCAGTGGCTTCATCATACTTTTCACAAATGGGCTTCTACTTGAGTATAAGATCTGGAAAGTTCCACTAGAATATGAAAAAAAAATAATGTTAAATCCTGAGCAATTTTAGCACCGATAGAAAATCCTTGAGGGACCAGGTAAGACAGAAGACCAAGTTAATATCCGTTTGCCTGTGGCCTTTTCATAAGCCCTGTCGGGCTCACTAGCATACACTGTTGCCCTAACCATCAACTCTGAAACTTTTTTGGTAATACAAGATAAAACACTTACCACTTAATTCTAAATATTACAATACTAAAATATTAAAATATTGAAAGCACAATGTGTCAGTTGAAGAGTAATACCAACATCAGTCGATCTGACATTCAAAAATTACTTTTACCAATGTACAAAAAACTGCTGATTTTAGCCAAGTCACTCAGGAGAAAAGTTTAGCAAATAGGCCAAAGAACTAAATTTTTTTTCCTACCATGCTTTCGGCTTCAGAGTTTCACAGTAATTTTGGTGAGAAAACCACACTGCTCTCAAAATAAAATCTTATTGCATAAAAAGTTTAGAAAAATAAATATAAGCAGGAGAAAGAAAATTTCCCATAATTCCAAATTCCCAAATTAGCTACTGTTGACCTTTACTTTACATCCAATTAGGTTTATTTTTTATGCATTATCTTTCTTATGACTCCTAAAATAGCCACCCACTGTCTAAAGTGGTAAAAGATCTTTTCCCAATCCCAGCTTCATCTTTTTCCTCTTCAGAATCTATTTCTCTAAAACATGAAAGTATCTTTCCAAATCATGGTTTCCTGTGAAACAAGGAGAATAAAATCCTACATTACAATAGAATTCAGAACATGGTACAGAGATATATCCCACCCTGTTATCTACAGCTGAAACCTAAACCTTCTTAGATAGACCTAAGTTTCAGAAAGGATCTTACAATATCCCTCCATGTTTTAGTCTAATATCAAAAACACCATCAGAGTTAAAAATTTAGGCTAGTAACCTAAACTCTTTTCTACCTCCAATTTTCCATGCTTTCACCTACAAGGGAAGCAGAATACCCTTGATCCCTAGAAAAAGTGTCAGCTGCAATTTGTATATTTCAATTTAGTAATAGTCTCTGATGTTTGTGTTGAAATCTTTTGGTATGAACGTCTCTTTAGGCTCAAAGGCTGGGTGCACGGAGAAACCCTACTGCCCTGAGCTATGCCATGCCAGTTGGCCATTATCCATGTCCTCCCATGACTATGACACTTTGGGGCTGAAGAGCACTAAGGATGCACAGCACTGCTGAAATGTCAGAACCCCTTCTCTGTAATCAGCTGCCTCTGGTCCTAGTCATATTGTTTGTGATTATGGCTCCCTTGTAAATCTCTCTAAGTCAGCTAGAGTTCTCATCTGGAAGTGTGTAATGCTAAGAGAAGTGGAATCTTTGATGAAGGAAAAGCCCACCAAAATATTATCCTGGATCCCTAGGCACTTCCTTACATCATTCAGATTAAGGAGATATGGCTGACTGGAGAATACAGGGTAGGAATAACTGCGTAAGTTTGCCTTTAAACTATGTACTGTACGTGAGATACCTTTAGAACAAAAAATGTTGTAGTTATGAACACTACAGAACATTACTACTCCATTGGTAATTAGACCAGGGATTGAACTCAGGACCTTGCGCTTGCGAGGCAGGCACAGCACCACTGAGTGAAATCCCCAGCCTCATTACCAATATTTATTAAAAACACCCCTGGTTGTCTCTTTCAGTTTCACCCAGCAGCAGGGATCTTATGGCCTCATCAAAATCCTCAAGTTTGATGAAACCATCAGGCCTCTCCATTAGGCAATGGTAGAAGATGATTACCTCATTTCACTTGCCTTTGAGTGAGGGCTGTTCTTTAGCTTTCATTGATATAAATTACAACTAGCATCCTTTTAGATGTTAGATGAATTCTTGATAGATTAAATGAGATGAAATTGTCAATAACTTTGACATACAAGAACAATTTCATATGGGATGATGTTTGTTTTTCAATCAAAATGACCTTTTTGTCTTGTAAATAATTCTAACTTGATTGCAGTGTTTTTTTCTGAAAGTAAAACCCATATTAAGAATTCTTTCACCTTACAATTCTCCCTCGCCCAACCTTGCATCTCATGTCTTGTGTTTTACCCCCACCTAGTGGCACAAAGTGTATATGTCATTAAAAAAATCAAAACGTTTCTTTCTAGGTTATTATTATGTCCAGTTATTGTTAGCTTTTCTATGAAGCCCACACTTTTCTGCTGATTACAATGAATTCTGTTGGTTAATTTAAAAGGCTAGTATGTGAGCCATCTCTGTCCAAAACTTTTCTGTATCACCATCAGTATTTCTTTCCTGAGGTATAGCTATATAGTATTTTTTTTTCATCATTCCAAGCTATTTTTTACCTTGACCAATTTACACTTTTACTTGGAGGTATAAAAGAGAAAGAAATGACCTCAGTTTCTACCACTGGGCTATGTGGAAGAAATCTCAGGGACCTCGTTGGTTAACAAAAATTAAGGGGTGATGAAAATTGAGCAGTAAAGCTCTGACTACAACTCTTAGAGGGCTGAATTAATTCAGGGGAGTGAGAGCCACCCTGGAGCAAAAGTAAAGAATAATTCAACCTTAACTTGGGAGGTCCAATATAACAGTTTCCATTTCTCCTCTCCTCCTAGAGCAGCAGTTGCCTGCTTTTTGTGCCCTGCAAATGCAAGGGGGCCCTTGAAAGGCAAACACAGTGATATTTGTTAAATTTTTTAAAAGCTCCGGATTCAATCAGCCAGGCCCAGGGCAACACCTCTTAAAAGATGAGTCTGAAACTGTTCTTAATATTTCTTCAAATATCACATTGGTCATAGTGCAGAGAATGATCATTAACACATAATCTAAAATGTATAAAATACTGTTTTTCCCAGTACAAAAAAAAAGTGACCTAAGATTGCACACCTCAGGAATGTTATGTCTTCAAGTTTACTTACTGTAGAAGTGTTTGTAAAACCAAACTTTAAGGGACGACCTAAAGGTCAGGTGGCTGGGGACAGTAGTTGAATCCCTGAAGGAAGGACAGGAAAGAGATTTCCTTTCTCACTTTTCATTTCAAAATATTTCATGTATATAACAGAATATAGATAGTGACTATGTGAACAAAAATAACAATACTTCAGTGAACAATTTACAAAGTAGAACAGATTTTAATGCTGTGTAAATGTCCCCTCCAGCTTATCAATCTGCCTATTCTCAGAAGTAACAATCATTTTGATTTTGTCTTAATTATCAAAGTAGAGACTTTTTGCTTGATAGCCTTCTTTTCTGTTTAAATTCTTAAAAATGATAGGGCATGGATTATTTAAAAATACATAAAATTACATTAAAGAACAAAACAAAATAATTCGGTATCTTTAGTATTATAATAGAGGAAAATGGCTCTATGGAAAATATTTCTTTCATAAAACTATTTTCTTTCAAGAATTAATTTTCTTTGAAATGAGCATAGAACATGAATTACTGTAATACTATTTACGTTTACCACTGTCAAATGTAGTGAACTTAAAAACCATGTAAAATAATATAATCCTCAGAATTCTGAGGTTAAAATTTTTGCCTAGATAAGGGATAAATTCGCTGGTGCTATAATCTTACGTAGAATGTTTTATTAGTGTGTTTGGTATTCACTACTTAAATCATAAAGTAAGCCTGCGTGGGTCATTTATCCAATTTGTTTCTGCATCATTCAAGATTTCATGCCTCTTAGAAGACGCCATGTTCTGAAGTTAGCTGTTAGCTATTCAAATACTCTACTCCATCATAGGCAGCATGACCTTTCAGAGCTGTGATTTTTTTTCTAGGCGATAATGAGCCCGGTTTTTCCAGTGACTGAGCTAATCATGATTGGTTCTTTCAGAAACATCACCAACTTACTCAGGGAAATGCTATAGGTCACTGTTGCAAAGAATAAACAGCTCCCTTTGACTTGCTTGGATTAATATCAGTTTCCCCCCGCCAAAAAAGAGACATTTTTTTCTTAGAAGAAAATAGAGACTGACTTTATTCTGGATCTGTCTTAGATGAAAAAACTTTAGAAACAGTTCTGGAACCCTTGGAGCAATTAGAAATTTGGGAGCCAGCTTGTTTTAGTGCTAGACATTAAGTAAATTCTTCATGTTCGTGCCAGATCCCTAACCAAATGAATATTACCATAGTGGCCCTGCAGTCATTCAGTACTTCCTGCTTACCAGGCACTGTTCTTGGCTCCCAGCCTGCCATTTCATATAACCCTCACAACAGTTCTGTGAGGTAGATACCACTCCACGTTTACATGGGAGGAAACTGAAGTACAGAGAGGTTCTGTAATTTATCTGATTTTATACATTTAACATATAACAGAGCCAGGCAGTCTGGCTCATTATGTAGTACCTATCAGGACATTTGATTTCTGTGCTTTAGATCAACTTAGAATGTTGGTTGACACCAAGATCACCTATATGTGAGTTCTCACCCAATGTGAGTTCCGCTTTGGGGAAATTTGGCTATTCTAGGAGGAAGTGAGGGGCCTTAGGTTCTTATAACTTTGTTCTCAGTCTCACTTTCATTCTCTGCGCACTTTCCAGTTCCAACTTGAACCTTAAACAGTAAGGTGCTATCAGAGGTGGCGGCATCTACATGTCCTGCTTTGTCACATGTGTGGATGTATTGTATCTATGTATTCACTTATTCAAATTTTTACTGAATATCTTCTGTGTGCCAGACGAAGTGCGCAGAGCAGTAGCATTTTATATAGGAAATAACACCCTGACAACTTTTTATAACTCGCAATTCAGATAACCTTGACAAAAACAAAGAATATCCATGAACTACCTCTAGATAGTTTTCTCTTTAAAAAATCATTTTAATTGCATTTAAAATGGTACCAATTCAAGAAGTCTAAAGAATTCATTTTTGTTGTAGGTCTTGGCCAGCCTCCGAACTGTACGAAACAACTTTGCTGCATTGACTAATTTGCAAGATCGAGCACCAAGCAAGTAAGTTGTACCATTTTTTGTTGTGTTTTCCTTCTTGTTTTCTCCTCCATTTAGATGCAACTCAAGGCAATACATTAGACTTCTCTGAATCATTGCCATGTTGTCTAATCATGTACACTAAATCATGAGATGCCCTGTTAATTTTCTATAAATACTTAGAAGTGACAGTTGTAATATCAGAAATGAAACAGTATGACAAATAAATACAGTGATTCCATCTGTCAGAAATCAGCTGGCACGGTCAGTTCTCTGCCCGGTTACATATTTATGCTCAGAGTAACTTTATAGGTTTGGCTTACCTCATAAATTAACCACAGACAAATAATCTTGTCCAGACATAAAGTCAACTCAAAGTCACCTTCCTAAGTCTAAAACAAGAAATAATTGGAGAAAAAAACACAACAAGCAAGGATTTTTAATTGTCTACTTTTACTGCCTCTCAGATCAGCATTCACAGAACAGTTAAACTCTGATTGATAGGTTAGCTGTGGAAGCATTTGAAAGAGGAAAAGCTGAGATGGAAAGTGATTATAATATGAAGGTCCTGATAAAGGCAAAAATCTTTTTTAAAGTTAATTTGCATTGTTAATAGGGAAGGGTGGAGGGGGTGAAGGGAGGACAAGGAATGGGGAAAAAATAAGAACCAAGATACATCATGTACAGGTACAAGTACCCAGTGATAAATGTAAATGTATTGTATACCTAAAATGTACCAATAAAAGAATTTAAGCAAAAAAAAGGTTAATTTGCCAGATTAAATGGAAAACTAGTAAGCTATTATTCAAGTTTCCCTTATTTTTAAAAACTATTGATAATAAAATATTAAAATAATCAACCTCAAAGAATTTTCCTGAAGATAAAGCTATTTAAGTATTGAGAACAGTGAATAGACACTTAACTGGGATTATAGCATACTTAAGTGTATAAAATTTCACAGTATTCCTACTTCTTAAAGAATATGAAAAATCTGAACTTTCCATTCCATAATAATATAATTTACCTCCCAAATTCATAGTTCATGATTAAAGAAGGATGTGGCCTTTATCCAAGTACTTCTTGTTATAGAACATGCCTTTCAAAAATTAGTATAAATGCCACAATGCAAATGATTAGAATGGAACCCAGAGCCTCCAGCTACTTGTGTTTTCCAGATAATACATTTTTTAGTTCTATCCCCTCAGTCTACACAGTTCTCATCTTCCTTTTCCCCTCCTCAAGTATTGGAGTAACTGCAATTTATCTTTACATTGCAACTTAAATATAATTGCAATGGGGCGTTGTCCCTACATACTACCTAACATAGACACACACCCACAAGTCCAAACTGGCCAACATGGCTCCCTATCTCCATTTGATGGTATCCTGTATGAACTGCCTGTCTTAACACTCACCTCTCTGTTGTCTCTCTCCTATTGCCTATTTGTCTGATCCTTCCAGTGCCAATTCCCAGTGAGCAGGAGTTGTTGGTTCACATTTGTATTCCCAGTGCCTATCATAATACAGAGTAACCATTCTGCAAATGCTTGTTGGCTGTAAGTGTAAAGTGGTCAGCATTTGAAACCTGAGGGAGTCCTTTGAGGAATCCATTCTTTGCCAATTATGTTTTCTATGCCATGTGGGCAGCTGTACAATACCATGCTGACCTCAATAGCCACTTGGGGCTTTTGTTATTCAGTAGCTTATAGGTATAATCACCTCACCTTGGAAAAGTCTCAGATCTCCAAGAAAAATGGAATTGTTGGTTGTCGTTCTCAAACGTTTTAATCTCAAATTTCATGTAAAATATCAAGGTCTTATCTTTTTAAAAAACTAGAAACTAAATCCCTTTAAGCTTCTTTCAGATATGGTCACCTGGGTACCAGCATCTAAACCTATAGAAGGGAGATAGTTATAATCAGACAGGTGTGAAGGAATCACACTGTTCTGAGGCCCATTCCATGAAGGCAGAAATTTTCAACTGATTTATAGGAACAAACAGATTAAAATGGAAAAAGAAAGACAGGAATTCACAGCTAAGAGCTGAATTTACACTTGTTTTGACCAACTGTACAATGGGGAGGATGACATCTAACCAAACAGTATTATCTGGTAAAATCTAAGTGGAGACTGGTGTGGTTTTTCTTGATCAATGAAGATTTGTATGTATCTCCTTTACTGATTCAAACCAAATTAGTTGCTGGTAGAATGGTGGGATTCATTCTCTACAAAGACAAGCTGTGTAATATTCAGTGACAGCAAGGAGAACATAACTCTGGCACATTGCTTGATGACTCTGGAGGAATCAGAGTCTGACTGCTAGGAACTCATGGAACCACAAGAACATTTTCAGGCTCACCATTGGAGTTTGAAAAAGATGTGTGGTGCCTTGCACCTTCTTATTTGCTAGGAAAGGTATCAAAGCTCAACCCCTGGGTGATGTATTAGTCAGTTTTTCTGTTACTGGAACAAAATACCTGGGACCCATAAATTAAAGGAGGAGAGTTTTTTTGGCTCCTGGTTTTAAAAGTTTCGGTCCATTATTGCCTGGCTCCTATAGCAGGAACATTATGGTAGAAGGTGTAGTGAAGCAGAGCTACTTACTTCATGGTCAGAAATGGGAGAAGGGAAGAGCATCAGCATAAGATATACTCATACCTTCCAAAGGAACAACCCCAGTGAACCAACGAGGTCCTGAGTCCCAACAGCACCTTCTACTATGAACATTAGTGTGTCGATCCACTGACGGGTATAGCACTCCCATGATCCAATCACCTCTCCAGGAGTCCCTTAATCCAGTCAGGTTGGTGACTGACAGGTGAATATCCTGATAGACATTTCTGACTTTTATCAACACTCTTCTGGTTCCTATCACCTAGCTCTCTCTTGCCTCTGAGATTCTTTTATTCCAAAGAGAGCTGTGGCTCATCCTTCATTAAATGATGTATCAATGAAACCACGGACTAATATTTTCTGCTTGCTGTTACTTGTTGAGATTTCAAGTTCCTGAGTAGGATTGTAGGATTGATATTAAGAACACATAATTAGTAGTCAACAATTTGGTTTTCCAAAACTAGAAAAGTATAGAAATACGCATTTAATATTTTTCCAAGACAAAAGTAAATTTTTTCCAAATTTTAAGAACTAAAAAGCAGCAACCTATATGTAAATTATTTGAATAAATTCTAGGCACAACCATACCACCTTGAACATATCTGACCTTATCTGAATAATAAACCCTCAACAAAAGGATGACTACTAATGTATAGACCAGAGCTATTTCTGGGCAACATTTTAAGACATTGACATTTTGTTTTATGGAGCATTTATCAAGTTCAAATTCATGTAAAAAACTAAGATAATTTAGAAGCAAAGCTGGGTACATTGTCAATCAAACACAAATTTTGAACCCGGAAATGACACCCATATATCCTACAATGATTCGCAATCAAAGGTGTAGTGGAGCCAGTGAGGATTTGCAGTGTCAGACAGCGCCCCCCTAGCAAGACAGTTTGAAAGAGCCAGACACCATCCACACGTACTTGTGACCATTCACCCAATGTACCTAAATATCCCAATGGCAAAACAACAGTGCTGAATCCATCACCAGGATCACATCACTTGAGTTCCAGTCTCAGCTCTCTTCCTTGGAGCACATTTTCTGCTTCCCAAAACTTTATTTTTTCCTTCAAAAATGAGTCTACCTGCCTTGAGTTTGCTGTGCAGATGGAGCAAGATAATTTTTTAGACTGTACATTCAGCACAGCGTCTGACACATGCTAAGTGCTCATTAAGTGTTAGCCAGTAGAAGAAGCACACATACAAACTTCCTATATTTTGCAGACATCCTTCAATGTATCTATTCTTAAAGTGTTTTTAAAGATTGCTATCATTTGAAAGCTACCAATTTTAAGTAACATCTCTGTGAAGTTATATTTCAGAAAACTTTAATGGAATTTCCATAAATGATATTTTTTCAACATAATTTACTGATTGAATATGGATACATTGTATGGAATTTATAGGAAATACAAGTTAATTATGTACCATTATAAAAACTTTGAAGTTTTTATAATCATCTTCCAGAGCTTAGCAAAGATCTGAAAAGAATAGAGAATACCAGATAGAATCTCTTTAAGTACCTTTGGTTCATAATATAGTATTTCTAAAATCTCTATAGTATCTATTTAGACAAGTTATTAACGTACCTCTCTGATATATACATCAGAGATATTTCTCAATGTAAGAATATAGGAAAAAGTTTGAATGCCTCCTCTGTAAGATAGTTTATAAGGAATTATTCACTTTGATAATATACAGGCAATTTATGCCAAAAATAAAAGTTGCTTACACTGCATTAGGAAAACCAATTGTGAATTGACTACTTTTTCAAACTCAAAAAGTCTGTATTTATTTTGGAAGTCCTAGCCTAATAGAATAAATCAATAAGAATTTCTTGCTATTATGTCTCTGTGACATTTACATCAGTTTAATCTATCCTAATGTGTGACACCATGAGATTTTAACTGGGTTGTTTTTTGGGGGGGGGGGTTCCCCCTGACGTGGTCTGAAACCATGGTAAAAAGGCACCCAGGAAATTGACTGGCTAGTCTGAAATACATCTTCATTTGCATCTCCTAAGTTAAAAACAATCCTTTAAATTAAAATCTTTTTAAAAATATATCTGAAATGTCTCAAAGAGAACTCAGATCATAAGCATCACATATTCACTGCTTTATATTTTTCTTTGACAGACGATCACCCATGTGTAACCAACCATCCATCAACAAAGCCACCATAACAGGTAAGAGGGATCTGGGTACTTATTCTTCTCATGTCTAGGTATGTTATCTTCTAAGAGTCAACATAATACTACTGCCAGCTTATACTACAATACTAAAATGTTAAAGAAATGAATTTTTTCTTCTCTACATTACCCTTACTATCATTGATGTCATAGCTTATCCATTTAAGCTGTTCCTTAGAAAATCTTTACTACTTTTCTGTATTTTTAACCATTTCACTTTGTGTTTGGACTCAGTTTAGCTTTGATCTGGGCATATGTGTTTTGAGAGATAAGCTGCCTTTAGAATGTTTGCCATTTTGGATCCACATTTGGTTGTCAGCATGGTCTTAATATAATTCTTAGTTTAATGTAAATGAAAGCACCGATAAAAGGACTAAGTTTTTGTTTAACCCATATCCCACTTGTGTGTAAGAAGGGACACTATTACTATTCCAGTAGTCCTTGTTGGGACTGAGAGAGCCGAGAAATTGAATTTTTGAGGGCAAAGAAGACATTATTATAATTTGGATACATTCAATAAGATCAAGAGAAAAAGATACATGGATGTTTCGGAAAGAAAAGTGGAAGGAAGGATGAGTGAGTCAAGGGCATACAAATAAAATTATCCAAATCCATATTAGCCTGTTTTACACAGGAGACTTGACCCCAATTCCACCAAAAGCAGAATAAATGATCTCATTTTGCTGACTCTGAAACTGAATTAAATTTAATAACTTCTTGAAACTGCAAGTGATTCATTAAAATAATGGCCTAAAAAGGAAAACCTATGACTTCTAATATTACTACCAGAAGAAAATTAATGTATCTTCCAAAGTAAACCAGTACTTCATTTGATTCAAATATCTTTTTTGGACCCAACTCATAATATGCAGAGGCGCTCCTATCAAATTTTCAGTAAGTAAACTGTGCTTGAAATTTTATTTTGTCATGTCCAGTCAAATGGCCCCATGTGTGGTCATCATATATGACTTGATTCTGGAACAGTTGTTAATGTTTTCTTCCAAGGGCCTATATCACTTGAAATTTGTATTTCAATGACTGTTTAATTATAGGTTCTTGCCAGGGATTTAGCTCAGTGGTGCCACCACCTGCTTCACAAGTGCAAGGTCCCGAGTTCGATCCCTGGTACCAAAGAAAAACAAAATTTTTTTTTTTTAATTAAAGGTTCTTTTTTTCCATATTTCCTTTTCAAGTTCTTGTTGGTGATGATTTTTCCATTGTCTTTTCATAGTGTACATACAGTTTACCAGTTCTGTTCTTGATGTTGATCAAAAAAGTGACAGCAAAAATTCCTATATACCAAAATAAATTCAAGCAACAAATTTCTTCTTTAGAAACTCAAATTCAATATAAATGAGCCTAAACTAAGGTGGAGGTTGGAACTGAATCCCTTATTTCTGTATATTTTCCTTATCCTGTTGGGGAATGGACAGGCCCACTTTGAGGGTCATATGTCTGGGGCTTCTAGTGAAAGTAGGGCTGCTCCAGACTTTCAGGGTATCCCTTTGAAAAGGAGCTACCCTCCTCCCTCCCAAATGTTCAATAAGACTGACTTTGTGGTTTAAGCAGAATACAGTGCTAACTTGGTCTCTGACAGCTTTTTTAAGCTCAAAAGGTCACATATGAATCTTCATAGGAGAGACAGCATCCTTCTAGAAGAACAGCTATAGGTATCAGTGGAAATTGTGTCCAACAGAGATTTGGGTTCTGCCCAGCCCGGATTCACGGGAGAAAGCTACTCTCAGGGGGTACAGACTTGGTCTTACCTGCTTGGGAGAGAACCCATGGAAGTCCCTAGATACTTTTTACAGAATATTGAAGCACTGGGGCAATGCCTGGAGAGGGAACTAAGAGCCACTGGAACCAGGCAATTCAGGTTAGTATTGTACCCATTCAACCCTGACCTGAGGCCTACAGTGGAGCTACAGGGTTCATTACAGGCCTACAGCTTCCCTTATCTGGGAAGGGATACAAATTACATTACATTACCTCCTTAGAGCAACTGGGCTTGTAAAAGAGCCCAACAAGAAACTGCCTAACTTTTCCTTTCCTTCTTGCCTTAACATTGCAAACCAAGGTAGGAACTTGGGATGGGGTATCTGGGAATGAGGTGAAAACCAGAAAAAGCTCCCTTTCTCTGAGTTCATTCTAAAAAAGGGGACCCTTAAAAGCTAAATAGTAAAAATAATATGAATATTGGTGGTTGAGACTTTGACAGTAGTAAAACTTGAGACACTCAGAGAAGATGGCATTTGGATGTTCCCTCCATGCTCATCACCCCTGCTGTCAGAACCTAGCAATGCCTCCGCAGTATGCCTGGGAAGGGCAAAGAGGGGTTGCAGAGAGTCTGTGAGGCATCCTTTGGGTGAATAAGGCCTTCTTAGAAATTTTGTTCAAGTCCTGCAGGAACAGTGCAGCCTAATACTGATGGTCATGGCTGAGCCAGAAAGCTGTGTCAGTAGCATTCGTAATGCCAGTCACCCCAAACGGTTTCACAGAGCATCACTGACATGGCGTGCCACAAATTGTGCAAATTGTGCATGTCTGAACTCAAATCCAAGGCTGTGTGGCCCTGGTCAGGTTACATCCTCTTTGTTTACCTCAGTTTTCCCAACTATTTCATCCAGTGATTGCTAGGTTGAATGAGTTACCCCGTGTGTGCTTTTTTGCATAGTGTGTTGCAGAAAGTGGTCAATGAATCTTTTCCATTTTGTCTTACTGTTTTGTTTCTAGGGCCTGCTCTATTCATGTGCAGAACTAGTGGAGTCAGTTCAGACTGCTGTACAAAGTACTGTAGACTGGTCTTCATAAATCCACAAACCACATAGGTTTATTTCTTATAGTGCTACAGGCTGAAAGTCTGAGATTAAGGTGTCAACATGATCGGGCCCTAGCAAGGCCTCTCTTCCAGATGGAAAGAGAACAAAAGATTAGATCCAGTAATAAGGTCACTAATCCCATTTACAAGGCCTGTGCCTTCCTGACCTAACTCTCTTCCAAAGACCTCACCTTCTATTACCACCACTTTGGGGGTTAAGATTTCAGTAGGAATTTTAGGTGCACACACATTTATTCCTTAACAAGAAGTGGTAGAAATAATAGGCCAAAAAGGTGAAGGGAGGGAAGGAAGGAGGAACAGAGAGAGAATGAAAGAAAGACAAGTTTTGGGGATTGTCAAAGTAAAATATGTGCATCCCCAACATGGCCTAAAAGGACATATTTGCTTTGCTCCTAACAAAATGGGGCCTTCTGTTGTCCCAGGTGTGTCCTTTTGCTTTATTACTGTCAGAGATACTGGTACCTTTGTGATTTAAGGACAGACTGTTCTTCAAGTCTTTTTACAAAGTAAGTAACTCTCTGTAACTCTTCCATAATCCAACGCTTTACTCTTAAAAAAATAGAATTAAGAACTTTAGCTGTCTACATTATGTATGTCATGCTTTCTAAGGATTTCCCACACTGAACTTAGAATACACATTTACCCTCTTTGAGGTTGGATAAGAATTAAAGTCAGAAAAGTTTGATTTCACACCATTAAAGTTAAAACATTAGAGTTAGTTGCCTGCCAGTTTTTATCTCTGTTTGTCAGAGATAAATATATAAATCTTGAATAATATAACAATTCTTTAAGGATAAATCTTCTAAAAGTTATGTAAAGAAGAGTGCTCAATGGGCTCACCAAGTGTTGATTTTGACGACCTCACCTCATGCCCAATACTTTTTGTTCCAAAAGCTAATTTAAAAATGAAGAGTAGAGGTATCAAAGGACAATGATAGCATAGCAACTTTTCTAATACATTTCATTTATGACTTTGTTTTCACACAGTAACTGCAGGACATTTTTAGTCATCTGCTTGCTAGAAAGCTCACCTGCAAGTTGTGTGTGGCAGCACCAAAGAGAGTGGGGAAACAGGAGAGGGCAGCAGAGAGTCAGAGATGTCTGAGCCAGGCCTAAAGGGACAAAGGGATGGAGATGCCCTGTTTTTGAAGTAGAGCCAAGTTGTGGGTGATGGTCGATCCTTTCATTTGTAGATGGTGTTCAGAGAAGTGTTCTGTGGCTGCCTTATAAAACTTTATCATGTCTTCTCAATCTCACTTTCAGTATATTTCTGAATTTCTGTATTTTCATCCTCTTTATTACAATCTTCTTCAACATGAGGGTTTTCTCACAAGAATGTAACTTAGAGAAAATCTACTTACATTTCTTTGACAGGTGAGAAAACTGAGACTTTATGACAGAAAACACTATTTCATCTCACAGCCAGGAATAAACATGTGCTTTTCCCATGTCTGAGGCCTCTATCCAATAAATTCATCAGAATAAGGTGGCTTTCAGACTCATAGAAGTATATATGTTAGAAAAAGTAAAAGAACGGGCCAGGGATTTAGCTCAGTGGTTTTGCCACCTTCTGCGTAAGCGCAAGGATCCGAGTTCGATCTCCAGTACCAAAAAAAAAAAAAAAGAAAAAGTAAAAGAAGTATTAAAGAATATTAATTTCTAAGTCGTGGATATAGCTTTGGATTATTTTACATGCATTTGAAAATTAGAAAATATCTTGTTCTAGCTTCTCTCTGGATATATTTTTATAGTTAGAGGTATTTTAATTACATCCACTGATTCTTTATCCTAGAGGCTAAAATATAGCCAATATAAGGCAAAGAACTTTGAATTTTGGAGAATACAAGGTTTTATACCCAAACAAAGAAACTGGTTCAGTTGCACTCTCTTTACCTGCAGAGGGAGACACATGATGCAGTGATGTGCATAAAACAACACAAAGGCAGTTCCAGTCCAGGAAAGAATAACAAAGACATTTAACTGAAACAACTTTTTTGTTGTTATTTGAGCTAAGGATATAATACTTTTAAGTCTCTGTGTATATCTCTCTTATAAAAACAAGTATATATAATATAAAAAGAATTACATATATGATAATATATCCATGATAATATACGTGATAGTTGAGATCAAGAGCCACATAAAAAATGGGTGCATG